CCCCCCCCAGTCAGTGAACCAATCAATGAGCAACAGTAGCTGATGTCAAATCGGGCAGGCCCGCCTGGATAGAAAAATGGGTCTCTGGGTTGGGCCAAGCCGAGCCGAGCCAGGCCGGGCCGGGCCTTGAAAAAAAATGCCTACAGTGCTGAACTTGGTAAGTCTCAGCTCTACAGTGCTCACACTTGAGTTAATTCAGTCTGAAAGACATATCAGCCTTAAGGTATCATTGTGCCTGAATTAGAAACAGAATAGGTCACTATTGTGAATACTTATAATGTCCTATAAGATGAGATTAAACCCATCTGGAGCAGTGCCTGGAATATCCACGTCATTACATTATGTGTTACTGATTTTGCTGTTTCAGCTCCTTTCTACCTCCACCCTTGTTTTCCCGAGTCAAACATTTTAATGAAATTTTCCAGTCACATTAATACTGAGAAGAGCTCAACACAATGAAATACTGCACACTGCTCAAAATAGAAACAACAAATGGCTTATTTAATCTTCCACTCGCATATTTTTGTTTTACATTATTTGCTTGTGAACTGAAGCAGCGTTTCACTTTTCAACCATATAAGAATTCTCTAGTGCCGCCTCACACCCCCACCCCCACCCCAAATCCCCTGGCTGAGGTGGCAGCTCTGTAAAGATGACCAGTGGCCACGTTGTGGTGTACAGTCTGCAGCCTGGAGATTAGAGGACCAGTGAAGATTTGCTGAGGATAAATGAAAAGCTGAGCTGAACAATGAATCCTACTGGCCAAGATTGTTTAAAGGGATAAGATGCTCACAAAAATCTGGCTCTATATTGGGTAGTATGTTTGTACTGGAGTGTATTGTGTGGGATTGTGTGCCTGTAACTCCGGGTATATGTATGAGATAAGCCTAGTGAGTACAGTGGTAGGATGTAAGGTTTATGCGTGAAGGAAAGTTATGTGATGAGAGGGCTGTAGTAAAACTGTCAAAAGCAAAAAAAAATAAAAAATAAAAAATCCAAACAGTCATATTTGGAATCCTTTGAAGCTACAACTTCAAATGCAGACAGAGCTTAAAAGACTCAGAAGTGAAAAGCTCACACACACACACACACACACACGCACGCACACACACACACGCACGCACGCACGCACGCACGCACGCACACACTTACAGTAGTTGAGACAACTTGAACTAGCCCTATCATAATTATTCTTGGGAGTTTTTTATATCTTAAATGTGTTCACATGTATGAGTTTATTTATGGTATTGCATTCTGGCTTCAACCTTAAGAATTCCCTGTCACTCAGTCAAGTGAAAGAATAGAACAAAGATTAAATATTTCATGTTCTTACCAAAGTCAACAAAGGAGGACTGCCCAACAGTCTTTACAGGTGGTGCTGGAATGATGTGAGCTTTGGTGAAGGTCCCATCCTGAGAGAACAGCGAGGAGAAAAAAGAAGAAGACACAAATTATACAGTTTTCTAAGTGCTCATACATACTGCAGCTATTAAACTGCAAATTTCTTTGAAGGTCATGAATATGTCAGCTGTTATTAAATTTAATGTCACAGCTCTAGTCGATCTATTGTGAGACAAGACAGAACAAAGGTATAATGATTTCCACACTGAAGCTTATTTCTCTTCAACACACAAGATACATATTTAATAAAACCACAAGTGCATATTTTGTATGTATATTTGCATATAAATTAGCACAGGGTGTATGCAAAAGCTGCTCATTAGCAAGCAATATTTAGCAGGTGCTGGTCAGTTATTACCTCTGCCCAATCTTACCCACATTTTGTACCTGGTGGCTGTCATTTCATATAACTAATAATTTCTATACTGACAATGACTTTTGATTTTAGAAGAGTAAAAAAAAAATTAAAAAACCTCATAATTTCACAGTTTACTGAGCTTATTTGATGTTTTCAAACTGTTGCTTTAAATCCAAAAATACATTATAGAACTGTCACAATTTCTTTTTTTTTCTGAAATCTTTTCACCAAGATTTCCTTGTAGCTGTACATGCAGTATAACTCTAAAACTTGTTTTGATCCTTCTTCAGTAAAAAAATAACAGTGTTGTGACAAACCCTAAGACATCTGGCTATTACAGATTTCTGAACATTTTCACTTTTTTTAAAACCAAAACAATAAATGCAGGTGCTGAGAGTTCTGGCCCAGTTCAGTTGCTACTGGCCTGTGCTGCCCTTTACAGTGCAGGAAAGWAAAGAGATCGGATGAGCAGAAACAGAAATGTGTTTACTCACATACATGCTCACAGTGGGATATACTGCCTGCTGATACCAACATAAGTGTTTTATGAGAGAGTCCAGCAGACGAGGAAAAAGAGACAGGCAGAGAAAGTGAGAGAGACAGCGATAGAGTGAGAGAAACCAACATGCATTATGAATGAGAGAAAGTGAAAGACTGTGTGGGCTAAATAAGTTTTTAAGTGTTGTATTTAACTGGCCAATAGGTCTTCAAAATATCCACAGCTACAGTGCATTTCCTGAAGCCATACCAAAATAAAACAGAGACTTCCTCACTTTCTTTCACAGATATAAAGTCAGTTAAACATAAACAAAACAAGATACTTCAATATCTCATAATAAAGACTTCAAGCAGATCTTTAAAAGAAATGAGCAAATGTTTTACTTCAGCAAACTAAAGACAAATCCTATCAAATAAAAGCCCCCCCCCAAGTGTGTGACAAAACTGGACAGAGTGTCAAAATAATGTTCATGATGTCTAGCAGTGTAATACAACAACCTCTCTACGGTATTGATTTTCTGTGTAGACAGAAACTCTACAAGCCACAGTAAGAAACTGCTAACATACACACTGAAACAAATGCAAAGTGAAGAATTTGCTTGAACAAAAACCTGTCTGAAGTGAACACCAAACTAACTCAGACTCGAGCTCAACTCCACACATTCTTTTATCAGAATAAGAAAAGTTATAAAAATAATCTGTTCTCTTAAAGGATTAAGGATTTTGAATTAATTTTAGACATTTGTTTGCAAATATGCTTTTTCCATGTTGTTGTTTTCTAATGGGACTTGTTAGATATTGTGTGGTGAATAATAAAGAATAATTATGAGAAAAAAATGTCTGTAAAAGTGGTTTAATATTGGGTGCTGGCTGTAGAAAGAGATCAAAGAACAAAAAAGAAGAAAAAGCCAAAAGGAGGTGTATAATGTGTAACAAAAGAATTATACACAGCTTTTTTTCCACATTAGTTGAGGGAAATCACAGGTGCTATTAATGGCACAAGTGACAGTTTCAATCTTTTAAGAGTTAAAGTCAGCCTAAGCATATATGGTCCATAAGATCCATAAGACTGTAAATTTAACAGCTACATTTTTTGTATACAGTATTTGTATTTATTTTATGGAAAAGCTTATCAAAACAGGCGTTATAACCCTTCTGATATGTAAGTGCATGAATGAAGTGGATGTACTGGGATTGTGGGTAAGTCAGCTGTCCCAACATCTCTGCAAAGACCTGGTTCCATTAGAGCTTGTTAAATGAACTCCTGCTGCAGTAACAACAAACAGGACTCCTGGGATAAATGAAACAATCATTGATGGTGTTTGGTGCTCTGAAGCAGGCAGAACGAAAAGATGGACGTTTGCCAGATTTCAATTTTTCTCATGTCGATATGTCAACCATAAATAATGGTTTTCCACAGACAAGACTCCTAGATGTTTTTGCTTACGTTGCAACAAATGCACACACAAAATGATTTAAGACCCTTTGGATATCTCTAATAACCAAATATCCTAGTTGATGGTGCTCAAAGCAATTTAATGTTGTTCATCTTTAAATGAATTTAGTTTCAGTACCTCAAGGGATAATGATAATATAAGGGATAATATCATGTATATACATTTTTAATGACAACATAATTTTGTTGTAAACGTAAAATGAGCTGTGACAACATAAATGCATCTAATCTAATCTAAAAATCTCCTGTCTGTTTTGTGTCATAAAGTGTTATGATGTTTGGATTTAATCATTTAATTAGTGGAAGTTACCATGTTTTCAATATTGTTCTAAATATTTAACTAACAAGAAGTGTGCCTATTGACGCAAACATAAAAAAAATATGCTGTTCATTCATCAGTGGTTTTAATATTGTGTCTGACTGCTGCTTCGAAAAGCTATTCGAGCCTGTCTGCAAGTTTGGTGAAGTTTCCTTCTAACAACTATTGCAGAAGGAGCTCAGTTGCTCATCTTAATTGCAGCCTTACTGTTTAAGCTTCAAACTCCATCCTGAAACAAAATTAACAGACTAATGACTAGTGTTGCTAAAGTCTGTTAGATTTACGACACCACAACTCACTGTAAATCAGTTAGTCCTTCAATATTTTGACATCTATTTTTATCTTGTCTTGTGCTTGACTGTTCATCCCTAAACAGTCAAGCATGTGTCTTTAAGTAAGAAAAATGGATCTTAACTGGCCTCATATAGTGGTTTATGAAGCCAGCCAGATAGTCTACCTAAGTGAGGAAGAAAACCCCTTTCAAACAAATGAAGTGTTTCATGTTTCTCTGAAAAGCAAACTCATGCTGGAGTAAAGACAAGGTCCACTTTGAATGGCCAATGGTTGCCTTCACATGGTAACAGAAATGGCAGAGAGGAATTAAAAACTGGACCACTAAAATATATGAAACACTTATTATTACTGAGCAACTGTGCTATGCAAGTTTGTTAGTGTGGTTTCTTTTTACTGGCAGAGCCTGAATTATTGGCACTGATCGAAACAGACCATAAATTATTCTCTAAAACTTTACTTTTTGTCTTTTATTGTTAAACTCAATTATTTTTCTACTCGCACTGATACAGACAAAACTGTCAGCTGGTGCCAGTTTGTCTAATGTGATATTACATTCAGTAATGCCTTTATAGTCATCAAAGGTTTAGACCTAAGTCTGCATCAGTGCTGGTTTATTTCTTTGTATTAGTATTCTTTGTGTACACATTTTGATCTGGAAATGTCAGCAATCGTGGAGCTGACTTTCTATATATTTGTAAAAAGAAAAAAAAAAGAAATAATACTGCCTGTGTATAATAAGATATGACAAACATCTTGAATGATCCAGAAACAAATAAAACAGACAGTTGAGCTAATAATATACTGTATATAGTTGCACCAAATGGATCTCTAAGAATTTTTAACTGTGTTACTTTTCCACAATATAAGGGACACACTATACCCGTTCTCCACAATCCTTTCACAAATAATGGAACTTTCTTTATATGTCTGTGTGTCTTAGCTATGCCTCTTGGGGGTTCCATTAGATGAAGTTTAACATAAAACTTTCATTTTTTTCCCACAGTAGCATTAGGTGTTTAAGTTATCTTTCCCTCTTAGGCTTATTTCAGGCAAATTTAGGCATTTTCCTTTATTAATATAATTTATTTTTTGTCTTAACAAAGGCTTTACTGTGTTGCAGAAATCGTGAAGCACTTTTGGGAGGTTTGTTTTGAACACATACTGTTCTCTTACACCTTGAACACTTTCTATGGCTTAAAAAACTTTTGCTGCATAAGATGAAATATGAAAACTGGTCATTACAATTAAACATTAATTAAGTTTTAAACTTACCAATACAATGGCTGATCAGAACCAATGTGATGTAGCATGTGTCATTGAAAAAATACCATCCTGCTTTAAATATTTAGGTCTTACTGCTGTGGTTGTACACATGTTTTTATTTTTATTTTTACTGTTTTACTGCATTAAAACTGTGAGTATTGTATAAAAATAACAATAATTAAAGCAACCATTTATCACTGAAAATGCCCGACTGTAAAAAAATAAAATAAAATAAAAAATGGTGTTGTTAGCCATTTCTGGGAATAAAAACATCTGATCACTGTCACAAAGCTCTGATGTGTGAAGACATGTTTGTGTACAAACAGTACTGATGATAAACAGTAAAGCTAAGAATTTATGTCCATAGTCATTTGTTTATGCTGCACGTTTGATTGTTGAGGCTTCTGAAAAAGCAAAGTTAATAAAATATTTTTATAGGTGACCTCAGGCCATTTAAATCAGTATTCCTTCCAGTAACTGATGACTGATAGATTTAAAATATAAATTGATTGTTGCAGTCTGACTGTTGAGAATTCTGACTTTATTTTTTCATTTTTCTTGACAATTTAGTACATCTGTCAGTGATGAGAGGGATTACCAAGAAATATGCTTTGAAAAGCATAAAAACTAAGAGTAAGAATTAATCACTATATGTAGAAAGTTGTATGGGATTGTTTTACTCATTTATTTTTGGTGGGTGTTTTGTGCAATTTTTAAGTTCTGCAAAACAAGCCTGCAAATGAAAACAACATTAAAGCTAGTATTTCTTTAGTGGTTTTCAGGAGGCTTATTATATACTTTGTCTTGTGTTCAGTAAAAACAC